ATAGTATGGGCTGCTCCGGCTGCTCATTTCGTTGGCGTCATTTTATCATTCTCTTTTTTGAAGGTACTTAACCTTGTTGACTATATAGCAATCATTGGCGAAATTGTTCGCTGAAATAGCCTAATTGTATCATCCACAGCAAGCTCCGACTACTGTCTTTTTTAATTCCTCAGTGCACTATTTCGGCTTTCTTCAGAAACAAAAATAAAAGAAATTGGAACGTTTTAATGTAGCGACAGCCAAGGAAGTTTTGTTCATCTTGTTTTCCCATTTTCTTGCAGACTCTCTGTGCGTCTCTTTCTAAAAATGGTGTGAAAGCTATGCAGATATTTAAAAAAACAAAAAAAACGGGACGTTGGTACGTTAATAGGGAAACTTGAATTGTGTAAGTGGAAATAACGCGCGCTGACCACAATGGAATTGATATCTGACTTCACTCGGGAAAGGCATCAATATTTTACGCAGTAAATATTAGCAAGATACTGTAATGTTAACAATACGAATTTTTAATTCAAAATTTTACATTCAAGTATATCTGTCGTTGTTGGCCCTGATATGTTGATCAAGGAGAAGACAGTGGAAATCAAAGCACATTCAACTGTATTACTCAATATTCCAAATTCTAAACTGTCTTACTTTGGAAGGCTTGAACTCTATTACATTGAACTAATGAAAAGGTCGGTTAAGGGGTGAACAAATTGAAGGAAGTTGTTTTGCTTTAATGGAACGTAATTTGTTAGGAATAGTTTGAGACAGTTGGATAGCAACAGGACGCTTTTTCAACTAGAAATTGCGGTTAAATATAAAACGTTTTGTGGGTTTTAATTGCTGCGGAACATGTCTTTGATCCCGGAGATAAGTTCGAAATATGGATCCAGGAAGCGTGTCTGATGTAACCTCCGTCTTTTCTAATCGACTTGTGGTAAATTTTGACAATTATTAGCTTCCTTCCTTCTCAATGTTTCGTTACTTGAACAGTAAATAAATAGAAAACATTAGCTCTTAACGTACATTGTTTTGCTCTAATCGAATTTAATTTTTCATGATAAGTTTTGAGACAGTTGGATAGCAACAGAAGGCTTTTTCAACTGGAAATTGCGGTAAATATAAAACGTTTTGTGGGTTTTAATCACCGTGGAACATGTCTTTGATCCCCTAAGATGAGTTCAAAATACAGATCGACAAAGCGTGTCTGATGTATCCTTTGTTTTTTCTAATCGACTTGTGGTAAATGTTGACGTAAATTGAACAATAAATGACAAAAATGAGTTCCCAACGGAAGTTGCAGTCACAAAGAATCTCCTAAATTTGATCCCGCAAAACATTTAAAATCGTTTATCCATAAAATACTGATGACTCACACAAAGATTGTTAGCTACATGGTTGGCGAAAGCTTGTGATGTACCAGTGAGTGCCTCGACAGCTTGTTGCCTAAGTAAAGTATAGCTGTTAGGATTTAGGACAGCATTAGTTGAGTAGTGTTTGCATAAGTTTGTTATCAAGTTTAGCCGACAATGTTTCTTTTGGCGCCGCCAGTTTCCCAAATGTATTTCTTTCATTCGCGTCAACACTTAAACTGTATATTGGTTAGCGTAATCTGCTGAATAACCCATAAACGTTTGAGCACTTTGGGATGCTGATGACGAGGTCTGAAGTGTTTACAAAACGGTTGACAGGCGGCCCTATGGAACGAAAAGATACAATGCCACATTTTTAGCAGTTACATTTTTCAGTATTTTGCTTGAAAAGCCAGAGATGAAACATCGAAAAATAAATTAAAGAAAGGAGTAACAAGGTATCAAAATGTTGAGCTTCACTCTAAAAAGAGCCCAGTTTATAAGACGGAAGAGGGTTTTCATTTTAAAACCTATATGGAAAATGATTATGAAACCCTCTCTGGCAGGAGAGCTGGTTATGTATCGTATGCTTTATGAGAAGGCTTTAGTCGGGGATATTGATAAAATTATCAAACCTG